CAGAATATACTGTCAAAACTGGGGGCAGAATATACTGTCAAAACTGGGGGCAGATTCTGTGTAATTTTGATGAAAATTTCATATGAAAAATTGGGGGCGTAATTTTGGGGGCTAAATGGACATGGCCTTAATATACTTCCCATTAAACTGAAGTATTCCTCGAAAGACATTTTCAGTGATATTTCGTATACAGTAGTGGGTTCTGTGGGAAACTTTATCTGTATAGTTAAATAATCCAGGTTATAGTCTATATTTTTGATCCTATCATCAATTGTGTAGTAATGTTGAGTACACTCCTCGCGATCACCGCATTCATATTCACATATTTTATTCAAAACTTTACTAGCTACATTGTAAGGTCCAAAATACATGTTACTATTATTGCGGTTATTTTCCAACTCGTTATAAGCTAGGTAATTATAATAGATTTTGTTTTCATTTAGCAAATACTTATCATAAATGCATTTGTATTGACACTCGTGTCTCGTTTGGCGATTAAAACATTGCTGTGAATAGCGGTCCACTTTATACCTCAAAATTGTTTGTTTATATTTGAGTTTATAATACGTATGATTCGTGTGAAGCATAATTAAATAACCTTGTCTATTACCTGCCAATACATGCTCCTTACGGGGATGCAAGTGAAACATAATATACTTGCGTTTTATCCACCTGTCCATAGGAATATCGATATCCATTGTCTCATACTTTGCATCAGTTTTAATGAACCTTTGAGAGATGTTTTTGGCTAATAATGTGAAACAATAGTAGTGACCGCTTATGGACTCCAGGTATTTGGACACAGATTGACAGCGAATATATCTCTATACCACTAGTCGACCTCAGAGTACAACCATATGCCGTCATTTGTCTCATAACTGGTGATAATGTTTTGAATTGGCGCTCAACTGACGTATCATTCAATTCATGTTTTGTTACATTCAATCCAATATAATATCTCGCGATTGCAATCTTAGACATACATATAGTGAACGAGGTGTGAGGTGGTCCTGGTGATTGGGACTCGTACCGGACATTAGTAGTGGTTTTGTATGCAAAATATAATGAACTTATTCTGTATGTTTGGTACATACAGCCTAAGAAACATAAAAGTTTTGAAACTATTTTAAACAAATTGCTATTAAATTTTAGTTTCATTTTAGTTATCAATTCTCTCAACGTTCAATTGTAACAAGCAGCAATTGTTCAACTAAAATACTTTAAGAATATAATTATTTAAGTCATTAATAATTAAATGTGATACATTATCTATTATAATTCAAATTCTAAGCAAAACTGTTAATTATTGTCTAATATTTCATATGTTTTATAAATTTCTAGTGATTATTGACTGTATTATCAGTCTATGTAACGATTGGTCAATAAATTTAAATCATTTAATAATTATTTTTAATTGTTTAAGAACTAATGTATTTTTTGTCGTATGAGACTTAAATTAAATTTATTATGAGTTCAATAATATAAAATACAATACAAATTGGCCTTAGATTTATTAAGTCTAAGTAAAAGGTTTTTTGAACAATATTTTTAAACAACTTATGATTTATAGATTACTCAAACCCGGTTGTTTAATTTAAATGCACTCAAGTTCAATTATTTAAATTTGTCAAATTTGCTATGAAAGAAATCAATAAAAAATTGATCCTGATGGTTTAGTTGAGTTAATGTTAAATCAATATTAGTTTCCTTAAGAATATTCTGATCGATAGCCCATTCGTTATATTTATGCAAAACCTGTGAACAGTCAGGCCTTCGGTTCCATTGAGGGGTTGACATCATTGACAACAAAATGTTTTGCAATTCATTTACTTTTGTGTTTAGGATTTCATTCCCCGAGTAAAGGCTTTCAGATCTATATTTGAGAACAAAAATGAATAGATTTCCCAAAATATAAATTTTGGTTTACTTACTTATCAGGGTCAAAATAAAACAAATCGAAATCTATTAATTCTGCACCAATAATAGCCAAACTATAAACATCTACTTTATGTCCATATTTATAAGAATTTGCTATTTCAGGTGCTTGGTACTTTATTGTGCCCACACCTGTTGTGTGCTTATCACGAGTCATATAATTGATGTCTTTGTCGTGAACTATAGCCAAACCAAAGTCGCATAACTTAACAAATCTGCCGTTCCTTCCGTCCCCGTCTATTAATATATTGTCAGGTTTGAGATCTCTGTGAATGATCTGTGGATTCAATTCATGCAAATACTGAACACTTTTTAAGATCTGACGGAATATTTCACACGAAATGAAATATTCATTAGAACTCATGGCTTCCCCTAAGTCTCTGTCAAATACTTTTGGTTTTATTTCGAGAATATTCCTTAAATTCTGTGAACAAAACTCCATCTGAATGTAAAAGTGTTTGCTTTCGAGCCAAGAGTTGTAATACTGGACCACATATTCTGAGCGAACATTTTCTAAATTCCTCACTTCTTTCAGAATTCTATTTATATATTCATCAGAAGAATCTGAAAGTATTTTCAAGAATTTTAAACAATTTGCAAAATAATTTTCATTAATATTTACCCTTTAATTGTACTCTTTTAACGGCATATATGTGTTCATCGAATCTATGCTTTACCTTAAATACTGTCCCAAAACCTCCGGAACCGATGGCCGATAACTCTTCGAATAAGTTTTGGTAATGATTTTCATATGAATTGTTTCCAACTTTTGATACTATAAACACAATTACATATTAAATATGAAATAATTGTTAAACTATTTGTACCATCAGGATATATGGCGTCCAATGTATTATAACTTATTTGTTGTTCTGTTGCGTAATAATCAATAAAGTTATTATAGGAATATTGTTGAACTTCACCTGGTGATATTATTTCATAAATGGTATCATCAGTTTTTATTATTAATCGGCAATTATGACAATATGAATGAAGCTCATTAAATTGTTGTACATTTAAGTTCAATTGAATTTGTATCGGATTACTTATTATTTGTTTTTTATTTATATCGCTCATATAATAGCCGCAAATGTATATGTTATTATTGGATAAAAAACACGTAAACGTATTCTTCTTATTATCTGATGCACTGATTGATTTGATATCACTAAGATTTGGTATCAATTTGGGTAATCCGTCATTTGTTTTGTGCCCTAATTCACCATGCCAATTCTTACCCCAACTGAATACCAAACCCTCGATAGTAATAGCAAATGATGTTTCACTAAAACAGAAAATACTTTTGATTTTATAATGATTTTCATAATACTTTTGATGACTTAAGTTGTTTGAAAATTCTAATAATACTGGTGTCCATGCTGAAAGATATGTGTTATTAATACCAAGTTGTCCGAAATCATTCGAACCCCACGCATACACCTGTCCATTGGTGGTGAGGGCCAGGGAGTGCCAACCACCACAACATATTTGTGTGATATTCTTGTCATACAATTCCCATATGTTTTCATAATCTCCATAATCTGTGCCGAAAAACACTAATCTTTTCGTACGTCTACCCAATTGTCCCCAATCATTGTGACCCCCACTGAACACGTGATTCATGTCATTGATAGCCAACACAAAGTCACATCCATTGATAAATCGTTGTATCCTTTGATTACATAATTGTGGTATAATTTGAGGTCTTTTCACTTCATTGTTGTGACCCAAACCCAAACACCCCTTATTATTACCACCCATACAATAAACTGAGTCATTGTTTGTCACAAATATTATATTCTCAGCTTTAATATTCTTATAATTACTTTTGAAAACATGAAATAATTTAATTTCGTGTTTAATATTCGTGTCAATTTGATCGCAAATGCGAAACTTTTTCATTTCGCACATTTTGAGCGCAATTATAAAAATACAAAATTTTTAAAGGAAAAAATATAAAATTTTAAAATAAACCAAAAAACAGTTAATTATTTTCCAACAAAACACAAAATGAATAGTGATATGAAAGGGTGTTGTCATTGAAAATATGATTACTATCCACTCATCCATAGAAACATATGAAATACAAAATATATTACTGTTTTAATACCTTTACAGTTATATAACATTTTAATTGCAGTAATTATCACAATTGCAAATACCATTGGATTCAATGATTATATTATCTTAACAACTGTACAGAAGCGCGAAATACTACAGATTTAAAGCACCGGCACTCCGGAGACATTCATACAGAGAAGTACAGACCGGAAGAAGTTTATACCCCACAGTCGGACTCCATTGGACTCTATTGAGCTAACTTTCCATTAGATTGGGGGTTAAGTATGTTTTGTGGTCCATATGAATCTCAGACTCGAAGTGACTTATCTCTCAATTCAAATACAGACTGTATTTATAAAGTGATTAAACTTATTAAAAATTATTCGAAATTAAATATTGTATTGTAAAAACATTAATTCATTTAAATTAAACTTATTTACTTTATAGGAGTACAGTAGTATAACTATGATTTTAATAACATGTGTGAATAAAATAATTAAATGTTAATGTTACAATAAATGTGAAACTTTTTTATTGTTTAAATATTTATCATAACATTTTTATAAAAAAAAATGTTTATATATTTATATCACAAAATCCATTAATTATTGTTTAATTATTACAGTAATAAATAGGATGTGATACAGTATTTGTTTAAGTTTAAAACTTAAAATATAATTCAATAATATTATATATGATAAATAAAATCACTTGATGATTTCATACATTTTATTTTTGAATAAAGTAATAATTTCTATAAAATTATCAAGTTAATTAAAAGATAATATTTAAAAACATTCAGAGTTTAATAATTAAACTTTAATTCCAAAACACTCACATTAAAAACTATAGTAGTTTAATAAAGATAGGAAAATGTTATTAAGAATTCAATTTAATTAATAATATTGAAACAATTGATAATTGAAAATAATATTTTAAATAATTGGACACAAATTCATAGAAAAATGTGTTTTCATGTGATATAAGTCTCTCTAATATTATCCGGAATTCACTTTTCCTCAGAATATTGCGATCGACAGACCATTCGCTGTATTCTCGCAGTACTTGTGAACAGTCGGGCCGTTGACTGAACGTTGGGGTCGAAGCCATTGACACCAGAATTCGCTTCAATTTAACTACCGGTGCGTTCAGTATGTCATCCCTTTGTGAATAGGGCTGTAAGCTGTGTTCAATGGAGTAAATGTTATTTTATTTAAACTTTTATTTATTTTAATTAAATTTATACTCATTTAAGTCAATCAAAAATAAGTCGAAATCCAGTACTTCTGAACCAATAATTGTGAGACAATAGACATCCGATTTGTGGTTATATCTCCTACTCTGAAGTACTTCGGGTGCCATATTGTATACTTCCTACTCGTGAGGTATGTTTGATATCAGTTTTATTAATATTGTGTTTGTCGTGAACTGTAGCCAAACCAAAGTCACATAACTTAATAAATCTGCCGTTCCTCCCGTTCCCGTCTATCAAAATATTGTCGGGTTTGAGGTCTCTGTGGATGATCTGTGGATTCAATTCATGCAAATACTGAACACTTTCTAAGATCTCACGGAATATTTCACATGAAAGGAAATACTCGACACAATTCATGGGATCTCCCGATTGTCTGTCAAATACTTTTGGTTTAATTTCGAGAATATTCTTTAGATTCTGTGAACACAACTCCATCTGAATGAAGAGGTGTTTATTTTCAGGCCATGAAGTGATATATTGGACCACAAAATCTGGATTAAGTTTTCTTAAATTCTTCACTTCCATCAAAATTCCTTTCATATATTCATCGGTAGATTTTGTTATATGTAATGATAATCACAAATATTTTAACAAAATTATTATAAATATTTTTACTTACTTTTAAACTCAATTCTTTTGACGGAATATATTAGGGGTACCGGAAAACAACTTCCGATTTATGGTACCATTTATTAAATTAATTATTATAAAACTTCTACTTGGATTTATACATCAATTAATATATCATTTTGAAGAGTGAATATCTGGCTTTAATCCTATATTTTTATTTTCCCAAAATTATTTCATTTAACCATGGTAATTTGACATCAATCTTTGTTCACATTTTACATGTAATTAAATGGAAATTTTGTATGATTTAACACAATTTAAATTCAATTATGTATTATAAAATAACCACTCACACCATTATAACGTGTTATAGGTTTTTAGAAAGGTCTATATATCGGCTTTCTAATTAAGCATATTAAGTTGACCTTGTTTCTATATTGTGACCTTTGAACTCAATTATTGACCTTTAGTGAGAATGACAAAAAACTTTATAGAAATTCCAATCACGCCGGGGTAAACTATACATCATTTTATTTGGCATTACTTTATGACTACAAAACAGTTTACAGATTAATTCTACCTAGTGTAGTTTAGAAATGGCGGCCATTTATATTTTTACCGACATTTTCTGGTCAGTCCTAGTATGTTTTTGATAGCAAATTACCATGGTTAAATGAAATAATTTTGGAAAAATAAAAATATAGGATTAAAGCCAGATATTCACTCTTCAAAATGATATATTAATTGATGTATAAATCCAAGTAGAAGTTTTATAATAATTAATTTAATAAATGGTACCATAAATCGGAAGTTGTTTTCCGGTATCCCTAATATGTGTTCATCGAATCTGTGCTTTACTTTAAAAACAGTACCAAAACCTCCCGATCCTATTGCCGACAATTCAATGAATATACTTTCGTAATGACTATTAAACGTATAATTTTCTAATTTTGATGAAACTATTGTTAAATTTAGAAATATAACTGATTTATTACAAACAAATATACGGTTCTACCCCAAAAGGCCTAAAACCGAAAAGGCCTAAACTCAAATAACTAACTGACCAGTGGACATAGATTTAATTAGATTAGTGGAATAGACGTGTCTTGACCCAACCTAACCTAGCCTAACTTAAATTAAGCCAAATGACCATTGGTCAGTTAGTTATTCAAGTTTAGGCCTTTTGGATTTTAGGCCTTTTGGGTGAGTCCCCAAATATACAATTAGTAATAATTCGTGTTAACCGGCAGTTATATTATCCGCTAAATTAGCCGAAAGCTCCCTTTCCTCGATTTTGAAGACCGGCTTTTATTAAGCCTACGTTTTCCTCAACCGACCTAAAGTTGTCTTTTAAATGAATTAAAGTGAATAAATTAATTATAAATTTAACAGATTATAGCATTATATCATCTTTATTTACCATCATATGACGAATAATCTGCATTTGAAATAGCATTTAATGATTGATTAGATCCCGGTTTTGTTTCACCCGAATTAGTGCTAAGATTTGTTGGTATTTCTAATGTATTATAACTTAATTGCCATTCATTGGCGTAGAAATCAATGAAATTGTTATATTGATAATGTGCCACTTTATACGGGGACACAATTCCGCAAATTATATCATTATCACGTTTTAATATCACCTGGTTAGTATACATAAATGAAAAATAATCACTTAATTGTCGCACATTTAAGTCTTGTTCAATTTGTATCGGGGTTTTAAGTAAATGTTTTTGTTTCGTATTATCCATATATTGGCCACAAATATATATTATATTACTATTTGATAGGAAACACGTGAAACAATTGTCATCGGAATACGTAGTGCTTATTGTTATGATATCACTCAAACCTGGGATCAGTTTGGGTGACAATATGTCATATGTAGTATTGTGTCCTAATTGGTGGACATCACTGAAGCCCCAACTGAATACCAAACCATCGGCGGTAACAGCGAATGAATTCACGTAAAAACAGAAAATACTTTGGATTTTATAATTATTCGAAAATTTTAACAATACTGGCGAAATTCCGCAACTTTTATGACCCAGACCAATTTGTCCCCACTTATTATCGCCCCACCCGTACACCTTTTCATCGGTGGTGAGCGCCAGACTGTTGAGTACCGCAGTACATATGCTGTATATTCTTGTCGTTCATATACGATATGTTTCGCGGTTTTAATTTATCGCCAAAATCTCTCGACCCAATTGTCCCCTATTATTGTGTCCACAACTGAACACATGGTTTCTGTCATTGATAGCCAACACAAATGTATTTCCATTTATAATTTGTTGGATCCGTTTGTTACATAATTCTTGTATAATTTGTGGTGTTTTCACTTCATTATTATGGCCCAAACCCAGACACCCGTTGGCATTGCCACCCAAACCATAAACCGAGTCATTATTTGTGACAAATGTGATATTTTTCTTACTATTACTGCCATTAAATACATGAAATAATTTAATTTCTTGTTTAATACTCGTGTCAATCGTATCGCAAATCCGAAACTTATTCAAAAGTTCGCACATTTTGAGTACATTTATTAAAAACAAAATTTATTAAAATAACAAAAAAATAAAGGATATGGTCCAAATTCTCCTAAGCTGGCATTTTTGATTTGTTGATTGGAAATGAAAGCCCATTCAATGCTATTTCAAATGCAGATTATTCGTCATATGATGGTAAATAAAGATGATATAATGCTATAATCTGTTAAATTTATAATTAATTTATTCACTTTAATTCATTTAAAAGACAACTTTAGGTCGGTTGAGGAAAACGTAGGCTTAATAAAAGCCGGTCTTCAAAATCGAGGAAAGGGAGCTTTCGGCTAATTTAGCGGATAATATAACTGCCGGTTAACACGAATTATTACTAATTGTATATTTGGGGACTCACCCAAAAGGCCTAAAATCCAAAAGGCCTAAACTTGAATAACTAACTGACCAATGGTCATTTGGCTTAATTTAAGTTAGGCTAGGTTAGGTTGGGTCAAGACACGTCTATTCCACTAATCTAATTAAATCTATGTCCACTGGTCAGTTAGTTATTTGAGTTTAGGCCTTTTCGGTTTTAGGCCTTTTGGGGTAGAACCGTATATTTGTTTGTAATAAATCAGTTATATTTCTAAATTTAACAATAGTTTCATCAAAATTAGAAAATTATACGTTTAATAGTCATTACGAAAGTATATTCATTGAATTGTCGGCAATAGGATCGGGAGGTTTTGGTACTGTTTTTAAAGTAAAGCACAGATTCGATGAACACATATTAGGGATACCGGAAAACAACTTCCGATTTATGGTACCATTTATTAAATTAATTATTATAAAACTTCTACTTGGATTTATACATCAATTAATATATCATTTTGAAGAGTGAATATCTGGCTTTAATCCTATATTTTTATTTTTCCAAAATTATTTCATTTAACCATGGTAATTTGCTATCAAAAACATACTAGGACTGACCAGAAAATGTCGGTAAAAATATAAATGGCCGCCATTTCTAAACTACACTAGGTAGAATTAATCTGTAAACTGTTTTGTAGTCATAAAGTAATGCCAAATAAAATGATGTATAGTTTACCCCGGCGTGATTGGAATTTCTATAAAGTTTTTTGTCATTCTCACTAAAGGTCAATAATTGAGTTCAAAGGTCACAATATAGAAACAAGGTCAACTTAATATGCTTAATTAGAAAGCCGATATATAGACCTTTCTAAAAACCTATAACACGTTATAATGGTGTGAGTGGTTATTTTATAATACATAATTGAATTTAAATTGTGTTAAATCATACAAAATTTCCATTTAATTACATGTAAAATGTGAACAAAGATTGATGTCAAATTACCATGGTTAAATGAAATAATTTTGGAAAAATAAAAATATAGGATTAAAGCCAGATATTCACTCTTCAAAATGATATATTAATTGATGTATAAATCCAAGTAGAAGTTTTATAATAATTAATTTAATAAATGGTACCATAAATCGGAAGTTGTTTTCCGGTATCCCTAATATGTGTTCATCGAATCTGTGCTTTACTTTAAAAACAGTACCAAAACCTCCCGATCCTATTGCCGACAATTCAATGAATATACTTTCGTAATGACTATTAAACGTATAATTTTCTAATTTTGATGAAACTATTGTTAAATTTAGAAATATAACTGATTTATTACAAACAAATATACGGTTCTACCCCAAAAGGCCTAAAACCGAAAAGGCCTAAACTCAAATAACTAACTGACCAGTGGACATAGATTTAATTAGATTAGTGGAATAGACGTGTCTTGACCCAACCTAACCTAGCCTAACTTAAATTAAGCCAAATGACCATTGGTCAGTTAGTTATTCAAGTTTAGGCCTTTTGG